ATATGCCAGGCTGGCCAACATAAGAACGGCATTCAGAAACTTGTGTAAAGAATCATTCAGAACTTTGAATACCACATATGTCAGGCCAATCCTGGATTATGCAGCCCCAGCATGGTGTCCATATCTAGTCAAGTATAAGACTAAACTGGAAAAGGTTCAAAGGTTTGCCACCAGACTAGTACCCGAGCTGAGAGGTATGAGCTACGAGGAGAGACTACGGGAATTAAACCTCACTTCGCTGGAAGACAGAAGAGTTAGGGGGGACATGATCACCACATTCAAGATTCTCAAGGGAATTGATAGGGTAGATAAAGACAGGCTATTTAACAAAAGGGGAACACGCACAAGGGGACACAGGTGGAAACTGAGTGCCCAAATGAGCCACAGAGATATTAGAAAGAACTTTTTAGTGTCAGAGTGGTTGACAAATGGAATGCATTAGGCAGTGATGTGGTGGAGGCTGACTCCATTCTCAGTTTCAAGTGTAGATATGATAGAGCCCAATAGGCTCAGGAACCTGTACACCTGTTGATTGATGGTGGAGAGGCGGGACCAAAGAGCCAGAGCTCAAGCCCCGCAAGCACAATTAGGTGAGTACAGTATGCGAGGAGGCTTCGACCATCGTCATTCCGGCTTCGATCCCCGGTAGAGGCGGAAATAAATGTGCAGAGTTTCTTTCACACTGATGGGTCTCTTCACCTAACAGTAAATAGGTATCTGGTAGTCAGACAGGTGCTACGGGCTGCTTCCTGGGGATTTGTAACAAAAAGGAGGCCTGGTCGAGGACCGGGCCGCGGAGACGCTAAGCCCCGAAATCATCTCAAGATAGCCTCAACATAACCACAAGATAGATCTACCCAGCAGATCATCCCTTATCATGAGTTTCTCCACAGCAAAGACCCACTTCGGGACAGTTATAAATAAACCACGACTCTAGATTGTTCAGAATTGAATCAATTGTTTTGAATACACTGTGTATTGCGATATTGAGTTATCTCAATATCGTAATAAACTGTGTATTGCGGTATTGAGTTATCTCAATATCGTAATAAACTGTGTATTGCGGTATTGAGTTATCTCAATATCGTAATAAACTGTGTATTGCGGTATTGAGTTATCTCAATATCGTAATACACTGTGTATTGCGGTATTGAGTTATCTCAATATCGTAATAGACTGTGTATTGCGGTATTGAGTTATCTCAATATCGTAATAGACTGTGTATTGCGGTATTGAGTTATCTCAATATCGTAATAAACTGTGTATTGCGATATTGAGTTATCTCAATATCGTAATACACTTGTATTGCGGTATTGAGTTATCTCAATATCGTAATACACTGTGTATTGCGGTATTGAGTTATCTCAATATCGTAATAAACTGTGTATTGCGGTATTGAGTTATCTCAATATCGTAATACACTTGTATTGAGATATTGAGATCGACTTGTATCAAATTATTGATACAAGTCCAAGTCAACTAAGGAGATATCTTTATACACATAATAAATATACATAATAAATAAATTCAACTCTCCTTCACATTAACACAACTTCCCCTAACTCAGTCATGAGTTAACACAACTTCCCCTAACTCAGTCATGAGTTAACACAACTCCACCTAACTCAGTCATGAGTTAACACAACTTCCCCTAACTCTCAGTCATGAGTTAACACAACTCCACCTAACTCAGTCATGAGTTAACACAACTTCCCCTAACTCTCAGTCATGAGTTAACACAACTTCCCCTAACTCTCAGTCATGAGTTAACACAACTCCACCTAACTCTCAGTCATGAGTTAACACAACTCCACCTAACTCAGTCATGAGTTAACACAACTCCACCTAACTCTCAGTCATGAGTTAACACAACTCCACCTAACTCTCAGTCATGAGTTAACACAACTCCACCTAACTCTCAGTCATGAGTTAACACACCTCCACCTAACTTTCAGTCATGAGTTAACACAACTCCACCTAATTCAGTCATGAGTTAACAGTATTATATATATATATATATATATATATATATATATATATATATATATATATATATATATATATATATATATATGTGCGTAATGAGGACAGGTGAGGGGGGTGAAGAGTGTAGGGGGGGGGGGGGGGAAGGTGTGGTAGGGGGCAGGGATGAGTCAACAAAAAGTCCCACGTAATATTTGACCGTGAAATAACTAGCGACCCTGGGCACGTCTGGGGCACCTGCCCCAAGGTCAGGGCTGTGACTACCTGGTACCCCCTTACACTCTCACTATCTCACTACCCCCTGTCTCTCTCTCTCTCTCTCTCTCTCTCTCTCTCTCTCTCTCTCTCTCTCTCTACCCCTCTCTCTCACACTACCCCTTCTCTCTGAACAAATCCACAAGGTCCGTGACGAGGATTCGAACCTACGTCTATTGATATAGCTCGAATGCATGGGGGGAATTGTGTAAAATCCTGGTTTGTGTCTCGGAGAGGCTGCAGGATCCATGTAAATTCAGTTGAATTTCTGGTGGCAATTATTATACCATGTCGTAGCTCAGTCGATTAAGGCAGCGTCTGGGATGCTCTCGGACGTAGGTTCGAATCCTCGTCACGGCCCTTGTAGATTTGTTCATTTTATGAATCACGCTATTGTGATTTGTGTGTGTAATGAACCCCCTTCTCTCTCTCTCACCACCCCCTCTCTTTCTCACCACCCTCTCTCTCTCTCACTACCCCCTGTTTCTCACTTCCCCTTCTCTCTTTCGCAATCCCCCTCTCTCTCTCTCTCTCTCACTACCCCCTCTCTCTCTCTCTCTCTCTCACTAACTCCTCTCTCACTATTCCCCCTCTTTCTCACTACCCCTTCTCGTTCTCTCACTACCTCCTCTCTTACTACTCTCTCTCTCTCTCTCTCTCTCTCTCTCTCTCTCTCTCTCTCTCTCTCTCTCTCTCTGCCCTATTCTCTCTCACTACCCCGGAGACAGAGAGAGCTTACAGTCTCAGCAGCGGTGAACATATCGCCCCTAGTGAACACTAGTCTAAGTGTATATTAAAAGAGAGAGACATGGACGCCAAGGCTAAATGGTGTAATGCAGATACCTGCTGTCTCCTCCTTCCCTTCCTTCTTCTTCTTCTTCTCCTTCCCTTCCTTCTTCCCTTCCTTTTCCTTTCCTTCCTCTTCCTCTTCCTCCCCCTTCCTCCTCCTGCCTACTCACAGCTTCTTGAGTAGGTTTCAGCAAGGTTCGAGAGGCAATGCTTCTAACACCCGATAGCTATGGGGTGAGGGCCCGAGAGCTGGAGCTCATCCCCAGCACACAAGAATATACAATTAAGAGCACACACACACACACACAGTGTGTGTGTGTGTGTACCACAGAGATATTAGAAAGAACTTTTTTAGTGTCAGAGTGGTTGACAAATGGAATGCACTAGGAAGTGATGTGGTGGAGGCTGACTCCATACACAGTTTCAAGTGTAGATATGACAGAGCCCGATAGGCTCAGGAATCTGTACACCTGTTGATTGACGGTTGAGAGGCGGGACCAAAGAGCCAGAGCTCAACCCCCGCAAACACAACTAGGTGAGTACAACTAGGTGAGTACACACACACACACACACACACATAATGGACATAGACGAAATGTTCACACGGAATAGTAACAGAACGAGAGGACATGGATGGAAGCTTGAAACTCAGATGAGTCACAGAGATGTTAGGAAGTTTTCTTTTAGCGTGAGAGTAGTGGGAAAATGGAATGCACTTCAGGAACAGGTTGTGGAAGCAAATACTATTCATAATTTTAAAACCAGGTATGATAGGGAAATGGGACAGGAGTCATTGCTGTAAACAACCGATGCTCGAAAGGCGGGATCCAAGAGTCAATGCTCGATCCTGCAGACACAACTAGGTGAGTACAACTAGGTGATACACAACCAAAGAGCCAGAGCTCAACCCCCGCAAACACAACTAGGTGAGTACACACACAAGGTTCTACAAGGTGGGGCCTGGTAGCCTGGTGGATAGCGCGCAGGGCTCGTAATTCTGTGGCGCGGGTTCGATTCCCGCACCAGGCAGAAACAAATGGGCAAAGTTTCTTTCACCCTAAATGCCCCTGTTACCTAGCAGTAAATAGGTACCTGAGAGTTAGTCAGCTGTCACGGACTGCTTCCTGGTGTGTGTGTGTGTGGTGTGGAAAAAAAAGTAGTTAGTAAACAGTTGATTGACAGTTGAGAGGCGGGCCGAAAGAGCAAAGCTCAACTCCCGCAAACACAACTAGGTGAATACAGACCCTTGCATACCATAGAACCTGGTATCCCTGGTTCAGAACCTTGTATATCACATATGTAAAGCCAATCCTGGAGTACGCGGCCCCAGCATGGAGCCCGTACCTTGTCAAGCACAAGGCGAAGCTGGAAAAAGTTCAGAGGTATGCCACTAGACTAGTCCAAGAACTAAGAGGCATAAGTTATGAGGAAAGGCTTCTTGAATTGCACCTCACGTCGCTGGAAGACAGAAGAGCTTGGGGAGACATGATCACCACATACAAAATTCTCACGGGAATTGACAGTAAACAAGGATGGATTATTTAACACGGGTGGTACACGAACAAGGGAACACAGGTGGAAGCTGAGTACCCAATCAGCCACAATGACATTAGAAAGAACTTTTTCAGTGTCAGAGTAGTTAGTAAATGGAATTCACTAGGAAGTGATGTAGTGGAGGCTGACTCCATACACAGTTTCAACTGTAGATATGATAGAGCTCGAGAAGCTCAGGAATCTGTACACCAGTTGACTGATTGTTGAGAGGCGCGACCAAAGAGCCAAAGCTCAAAGGTGAGTATATACACGTGTAGATTCAAACACATTCATGCACACACACACACACACACACACACACACACACACACACACACTGACCTAGACATGGTATGGTCTCTGGGAATCCTGACGGAGAAGGTCACAGCTGGCCTATAAGTAGCCAGACGCGGGTCAGCCAGCCCAGTCACACTCCAGCCACGAACGAGTGCACACGCCTCAACGATTAATCTCTGTTTACCAATGACTGATTTATAAATCACTTCTTGACACATTAACTTTCAGGCATTGAGTGATATAAGCCAGCAATCACTCACAAGGATGATAAAGATCAGTGAGTATTACTCATTCGTTGAATATACGTAAGAGTTAGTGAATACGTTATGTTGTTATCAATAACTTGCATTAGACAATATGTGTACGAATAGGAGTTGTTTCACGGAAAGGTTCTGAGACGTGAGGATTACTTTCACTTTCCTGGGAGGTTATGTCCAGACACGGAAGGTTATATGTGTTCACGTAATGATTGTCCGTGGTCGTTCTATGTCCGTTCTTGCATTTTGTTCGTGTTGTGGTGGTTCGTGTTCCTTGTTCATGTTATGGTGGTCCGTGTTCCTTGTTCATGTTATGGTGGTCCGTGTTCCTTGTTCATGTTATGGTGGTCCGTGTTCCTTGTTCATGTTATGGTGGTCCGTGTTCCTTGTTCATGTTATGGTGGTCCGTGTTCCTTGTTCATGTTGTGGTGGTCGGTGTTCCTTGTTCGTGTTATGGTGGTCCGTGTTCCTTGTTCATGTTATGGTGGTCCGTGTTCCTTGTTCATGTTATGGTGGTCCGTGTTCCTTGTTCATGTTATGGTGGTCCGTGTTCCTTGTTCATGTTATGGTGGTCCGTGTTCCTTGTTTACATTGTAGTAATCATGTTTCTGTATATATCATTAGTCATATAATGGCTTACAATTGTTCAGGCTGGCAAGCTTCAGAGCAAAATAAACCACAGACAGTTTATCAATAAACTTATGAAATAGTCGACTCGCTGAAGCAGTTAAAAAAAAAACACTGAAGAAGCTTCATGACTCAAAATCGGGTGATGAACCTTATGGTAGTCTTTGTCCTTCATGTTATTGTAGTCTTTGTCCTTCATGTTATTGTAGTCTTTGTCCTTCATGTTATTGTAGTCTTTGTCCTTCATGTTATTGTAGTCTTTGTCCTTCATGTTATTGTAGTCTTTGTCCTTCATGTTATTGTAGTCTTTGTCCTTCATGTTATTGTAGTCTTTGTCCTTCATGTTATTGTAGTCTTTGTCCTTCATGTTATTGTAGTCTTTGTCCTTCATGTTATTGTAGTCTTTGTCCTTCATGTTATTGTAGTCTTTGTCCTTCATGTTATTGTGGTCTTTGTCCTTCATGTTATTGTAGTCTTTGTCCTTCATGTTATGGTAGTCTTCTGTATGAAGGGTAATCGTTCCAATTTTTCATCTCGGTTTTCTTAGTTCATTTTACTGTAGTTTCTCTTACTCGTCTTATGGCAACGTCTTACTGTGTTACAACAATGATAAAATGTCTTGAGGTGAGACTGAGGTAAGCGTATTGTTGCAGGTGGGAGCGTGGCGGCGTGTCTGCTGCTGGCGACGACGGCAGCTCTGGCCGCTGACGACTGGTCCTGGGGGGCTGACACCTCCTCGGGCACTTCAGCGTCTGGTCGAACCCTTCCCGACACCGTCAAGGTGCCCCAGTCACTCCCTCTTGAGCCTCACTCTCAGCAGAGTGTCCCTAGCCAGGAGACAACTGAGGAGGACCGTCAACCAAGGTTCCTGGGACTCGGTCACAAGCTTTGCTCCATCGGGATCGGTGTTGATGTGAGTCCCCGACGGATGCTTTAATTGGTCGATTAGCAACGTTGCAGAATGACTCTGAATAGTGATATACATATGTGATGATTTGATACATTTAATGATATATGCTTTATAACATTATAAATTAACCACAATGTTATGTATAACAAATGTAATCTTCCTTCAGTGTAACAAGAAGGCTCCCCATCTTGGCCCCAACATTATTCCCGTCAGCACTTACTCCAGTGTTCCAGTGGCAGGACCTTTCCCAGTCCCGGGATCATTCTCTGGGGTTCGTCCCTTCATGGTGCCTCCACAACTTGTTCCGGGACACCATACTCCCCACCGCCAGTCACCACAACAAGCTGTGGTCGAACATCATCACTCTCACACTCACATTCACCAAATCGGCGCAGGACGTCCTAATGTTATTTCTGGTTCAGTAAACCCTGGTGAATTCCAGTCCTCTTTTCTCGATCAAAATACGCTCTACCGGCCTGAGATTTCCGCTTACCGCGAGGAGTGTCAGTGTGTGCACGCCTCGTACTGCCAGTCGTACGATGTCGTGGGTCGAAACAGTCCCGGAGATATCAGGGACCTCATTGATGCCCGTAACCAAGGCTCAGATATTCTGTCAAATGCGACAGATGTCGAAGATGGTGTAACGAGCACAGTGGCTCCCGAAGATGTCACCAACCAGAGCTCTGCTCGTCAGGGAAAAGATTTATCGCTTACTGACTCGCACAATGAAACTCGCTTCAGGAGGGACACTCTTGACCACATTGATGCACCACAAAACGCCACCTTCGACGTTCAAGGCGTAAGCAATGATTTATACGTGGATAGCTAGCTAATATATTAAACATGATTTACGCTTTTAGTAACTGTAAACATTGTCAATATAATTTAATTTAGAAAAAAAGTGTATCTACATGTTATTTTTTCTACTTTCCAGAGGACATTGTCATACTTTCCGGGTCAGGTAGGCTGTGGTGCAGCCTACGTCTGTTGTCGCAACCCACAACTTCCTCCCCCACCACCCAAGTACACGTGTGGCCGCAGCGACTCCAGAGGTGTCCTAGCACGCGTCAAGACGCCACATTACGTGAAGGGCGACACAGAGTTCGGGGAATATCCCTGGCACGTGGCTATTCTCAAGCATGACGATGAGTACGTGTGTGGCGGAGCTCTGATCGACGAGCGACACGTCCTCACCGCCGCCCACTGCATTGACGGGTCAGTTAACACCAACATTCGTGCTCTGACGTATGAAATATATTGTACCAACTTGACTTGAGAATGTCAACTTGAAAATCGACTTGAGAATGGTCCAGGACGGACCGAAACGTCGTCGTCCCTTCACCTTCTAGTGTGTGGTCTGGTTAACATAATTTAGCCACGTTATTGTGACTCATCGCCTGTATATTGTACCAAGTTTAAATAGTGAACACTTTTTATTCTTTCTTGAACCACTGTACATGTCTTCGTTTCGCAGACTCAACCCGCAATACCTGAAGCTCCGACTGGGCGAGTGGGACGTCAGTGGACCTATCGAGTTCTATAGTCACGTGGAATTAAAGGCCGAGTATGTGGTCGTCCACCCAGAGTACTACGCAGGTAATCTTCGCAATGACATCGCAGTCATCAGGATGCAAGGCTACGTTGACTTTCCATCCAAGTAAGTGACGAGTGTCATATCACGACTGAATTGTGAAAAGTTGAAGTACTTAAAAACTTAATTTTATTTTTAAATTGCTTTAATTTGTTATTTTACATTATTGCGATCAGAATACGTACATTTGATCTTTATCAGCACCTTAACCGCGTTAGATGACTCTTCAAAATGTTATTATTTCATACCGCAGCCAACAAACACCTCGTTTACTAATTTATCAACATATTGGTGGTGGAATTATTTTAAAATTAACATTATACAAGTTTGTTTCATGAACGATGTTTCCCTGGTAACCCGTGAGTGTCTTTGGCAAATAATAGTGTTAGTGGGAAGAATTATAGCGAGAAAAGTACCAACAGCTCTCCTCCTCCTCCTCCCACAGCCCGCACATCTCGCCCGTGTGTCTGCCAGACGCCTACAGCAGCTTCGTGGGTCAGCGCTGCTACTCTACCGGCTGGGGGAAGGACGCCTTCGGCGGTACCGGCAGGTACCAGAGCGTGCTGCAGGAGGTGGAGTTGCCCGTGGTTGATTACCACCAGTGCCAGGAGGCCCTGAGACACACTCGCCTGGGACCCAGCTTCACCCTCCACCAGGGCATGCTGTGTGCTGGCGGCGAGGAAGGTCGCGACACCTGCAAGGTGAGGCTCCACTCTCGCCTATTCTCCCGTTGCCAAATATGGCCATAATTCAAAGAGGAGTAATTTTTCATGATTTATTTGCTTACGTCATTCTCTTCATATTATTTTTATCCTCTCCACCAGGGTGATGGAGGCGGGCCCCTAGTGTGCCCGGGTCCTGAGGGCAGGTTCTACCTTGCTGGTCTGGTGTCGTGGGGAGTGAGCTGTGCCCTGAACGGCATCCCCGGGGTCTACGTCGACGTGGTCACTTACCTGACATGGCTCCACGCCATCACATCAGCACCATAACCGCTCAACACAACCTGGAAGTAAAACATCACTAAGCTGTCGGCGCGCTGTTCCCTTCACGCTGTGTCACTGTCTTGTAAGAACTTCATTTTAATGAAGAAGTGTGTAAGCATAAATTATGCAATAAATGTATCACTGTGTATAATAAATGGCTCTTACGAGTATATAAATGTACTTAATTTTATTTCTACCAAAATAAATATATTTTCGTCAGACTGACACACTCGAGAAGGCATATGAAAAGTTAATGAAAATATAATTACTGTGAACATTTATGAATGAATAAAAGTCATTTGGGTATAAGTAATGGATATATTGTCTAGAGTTAGGCCTAGAAGAGGCCTAGTTCACCCGAACTCTGGCATTGTCAGTCAACCAAGTCAAAGCTTCGTCATTCCTCTTGAGATATTCTCTTATATTAGAACTCACGTGGGATTGCTTCCTCGAAAAATAAATCAGATTCCAAAATACATGAAATAAAAAGCGTACCATACACGTCTAGTTCAAGTTCAAGTATGTATATTGAGACACGAAAAATTACATCTCAAAGGGATAGAGTAGCTTAGGCTATTTCTACCCCCCCCCCCCCCCCACGTCTAGTAGAGTGCACTTGTACATAAGAACATAAGAACATAAGAACAAAGGTAACTGCAGAAGGCCTATTGGCCCATACGAGGCAGCTCCTATTCTATAACCACCCAATCCCACTCATATACTTGTCCAACCCGTGCTTGAAACAATCGAGGGACCCCACCTCCACAATGTTACGCGGCAATTGGTTCCACAAATCAACAACCCTGTTACTGAACCAGTATTTACCCAAGTCTTTCCTAAATCTAAACTTATCCAATTTATATCCATTGTTTCGTGTTCTGTCCTGTGTTGATACTTTTAATACCCTATTAATATCCCCCCGGTTATGTCCATTCATCCACTTGTAAACCTCTATCATGTCACCCCTAACTCTTCGCCTTTCCAGTGAATGCAACTTAAGCTTTGTTAATCTTTCTTCATATGAAAGATTTCTAATTTGGGGAATTAACTTAGTCATCCTACGCTGGACACGTTCAAGTGAATTTATATCCATTCTATAATATGGCGACCAAAACTGAACTGCATAATCTAAATGGGGCCTAACTAGAGCAAGATATAGCTTGAAAACCACACCAGGTGTCTTGTTACTAACGCTGCGATTAATAAATCCAAGTGTCCGATTTGCCTTATTACGAACATTTATGCATTGATCCTTTTGTTTTAAATTCTTACTAATCATAACTCCCAGATCCCTTTCGCAATCCGACTTCGCAATCACAACACCATCTAGCTCGTATCTTGTAACTCTATCATCATTACCTAACCTCAGAACTTTACATTTATCAGCATTAAACTGCATCTGCCAATCCTTTGACCATTTCAAAACCCTATCTAGATCAACTTGAAGTGATAGTGAGTCCTCCTCCGAATTAATTTCCCTACCGATTTTCGTATCATCGGCAAATTTGCAAATGTTGCTACTCAAACCTGAATCTAAATCATTTATATATATTATAAACAACAGAGGTCCAGGACAGAGCCTTGAGGCACTCCACTTACAACATTTTCCCACTCTGACTTGATTCCATTTATACTAACTAGTATTTATAAGTATTTATACTGTACTTACCAGAGACAGCAGTGAAGGGTGTGATGAGGCAGGACTGCCCACTTTATCACTTTCCGATGAAACTGTTTAGTCAAGTTCTTGTATACACTCACTGCTTCACTGGTCTACATGTTCTGAAGGTTATAACGACACTTAAAGCACTCGACCCATCAATTTCTTGCCGTGAACATTTTAACACCTTTGAACTCTATCCGTACTCCTCCTTTAAGCACTCAAAAAATTGAAGTGTTCTACGCTTAATCATTAAGACGCTCACGGAAATGTTCTTAATAATTCTACATAATCTTAAATCCAAAGCACTCGGCAATTTTTCACTTTAAACACAAATCAAATGTCCGTCATTCATGATTTTTGAAGCACATAATGGGAGGGGGGAGGGACAGTTATCACTTGTGCTCACGCTGTGAGCGTTTTTAATTTGCTTACAGCCGTAGCAACCATTGCTAGGACTTGACAAGCAGTTACGCATCTTCTTACGAACCTTCATATATTTTCTAAATCTTAGGCGGCTTTCTTTACATTTATTAAATAGTTTACGAGCATCGGAACCTTCCAGTCAAATGCTGTTATGGTTAGAAACAGCCTCCCAGTGCTCCGGAGTTTATTAAATGTTAACAAAGCCGCCAAATCTTGACAAAACTTGTGGTGCGTAACTGCTTGTTGAGCCCGTACATGCAAACCGTTTTCAAGCATCAAATGTATTTAACACTATAATTTTAACTTATAAAGTGATACAACGCGCCAATAACATTTAATAAATGCGTTACACCTATCGTATGTGGGAAATTCCAAACGTTCTCCAGCTATAAACGCCAAAATAAATGTGAGCGTCACGGGTGGTGATAACGACAAATGCGACCTAAACACTGAAGGAGGTCGCTTAAGTTCCGACGCGCCTCACCTTCGTTATCAACGTGAAGACAAAACATTATAAATATCATTACTTATTTCAAATTTCACACATTTATATTAAAAATATTTACGTTAATCAAATTTATTTGTTGTATATCGAGACTTGATCATTAAAGTTCAGTGAATGAAAATCGAAAGAGCATGAATATAAAGGCCAGGGGCCAGATTCACGAAGAAGTTACGCAAGTACTTACGAACGTGTACATCTTTCCTCAATCTTTGACGGCTTTGGTTACATTTATTAAACAATTTACAAGCATGAAAACTTGCCAATCAACTGTTGTTATTGTTATAAACAGTCTCCTGGTGCTTCGGAGCTCATTAACTGTTTAATACAGCCCGTCCTCCAAACAAAGATCCAAAAGTGATTCCATCCACCCACCAAACCCCCTGTTTATGAATGAAAAGCGGTTTACACACGACTCGCAACTGCTGACATTCGAACATATCCGGAACAAGTGCTTCACTGACGAATTTTGTTCGAATCACAACGCTGTAAATGCTTCACCCACGTACTACAAATACAAATAATCGCCAACAGAACCTAAACACCTAATCTAACCTATCCTATACCTATATATGCACAATATGCTAATATATTATAATATTAATTTATACTTGCGAAAATTCCCGTTTTGAATGAACAGCATGTTAAAATTTATGAATGCGTGTGTGGAGTTGACCGCTGAATGTAATGGACTTGAGTCGAGGACGGGTTGGTTTAATAATTGTAAACAAAGTCGCCAAAGATTGAGAAAAGATGGACAGGTTCGTAAGTGCTTGCGTAACTGTTTCCTGAATCTGGCCCCAGAAATCTAGGGACTACAGGACTACATAAATCTTAGACACCATTCCTTCTATACATCCGTACTCTCTAAAATAAGTTTGGTTAAACATTATATACTTAATATCAGGAGCTCATTGTGGGTTCCTGTACTCTGGGATGTTGTGTGGAGTTCCTGTACTCTGGGATGTTGTGTAGAGTTCCTGTACTCTGGGATGTTGTGTTGAGTTCCTGTACTCTGGGAAGTTGTGTTGAATTCCTGCACTCTGGGATGTTGTGTGGAGTTCCTGCACTCTGGGACGTTATGTAGAGTTCCTGTACTCTGGGATGTTGTGTAGAGTTCCTGTACTCTGGGATGTTGTGAAGAGTTCCTGTACTCTGGGATGTTGTGAAGAGTTCTTGTACTCTGGGATGTTGTGTAGAGTTCCTGTACTCTGGGATGTTGTGAAGAGTTCCTGTACTCTGGGATGTTGTGAAGAGTTCTTGTACTCTGGGATGTTGTGAAGAGTTCCTGTACTCTGGGATGTTGTGAAGAGTTCCTGTACTCTGGGATGTTGTGTGGAGTTCCTGTACTCTTCCTGTTCCTGTGCTAAGGCTCACCACTACTAGACACCAGCATTCAGACCTTCCACGGCCTTGATGTGTTAGATAGTTGTTACCACTTGTAAGACAGTGGTTACAAGTTGTTCGAACGTTTTAGCAACGTCGTAATGTCGTTGTGTGTTTGGCGGGAGATCACGTGAATACTCTCTGTCTCACACACAACAACCAGACGAAAATGTACAATAGTGAACATTATAAACGTTCTTCGGTCACCTGTGGTTCAGTGGTCAATAACTCACTATGTAGAGAAACAGTTCTCTAACCCTCTTGGGTGTAGCACAGACGAAAAATGTTGTAGACTGGATAACACTGAGTATATGTTGTGGGGCTACGTCTGTGATAGGGGGAAAACATCTCAATTGACACCTCATAACATTTTCCACCTTACAACATCTCTCCCTCATACCTCACAACATCTTCTAGCACCTCACAACTCTCCTCTACACCCACCACTCTTCCTTATTGTCCCCTGAGTCAACAACAGCCATGACACCTGTTTTGGTCCCTAAATCAACAACAGCCTTGACACACTGATGCCCTTGATTCAACAACAGTCTTCACAATTGTTTTACTGGGGTATAATCCCCGGCAGCCTTGTCCCCTTGGAGTATTGTCTCAAAAGTCAACAATAGGGAGGGATGGAGTGTATTAAACACACGCGATACTTCATAGTCTTTGTGGCATTACAATAGTTGTAATGAAGTGATGAAACGTCCGGATATTGTTCTATTGCCTATTAGCAATAGAAATACTAGATGATATTAGCTATCGACAATAGATGAAACACACACACACACACACACACACACACACACACACACACACGCGCGTAAAAAAATTATTTTTATTCAATAGTACCCGTGTAAACATTCGCAAATAGAATACCAAAGGGAAAGGGGGCAGAACCCTTGGCAGCGCCATCTACTTGTTAATACTTGAGACCCTCAGGGCTCACGAATGGTGCCTCTTTAGTTCATGCTGCGACTACGTTCCTAAAAATGCATTCTGAGAAGTCAAGAGGAGTCCAAATTGAATGCCAATATACTCTATCCATTATCAATATACTCTCATCAACGGGGACAGCGACTCATCATCGAGAAACATAAAAAAAGCGATTCTCGCCATAAGTCGACAAATTCTTTGTATGCAGAAAATTAATCACAATAACGTAGCTGAAAATTAATCAGCCAACCCATGATCTGAAAATAAAGGAACTGACGATGTTTCGGTCCGTCCTGGACCATTCTCAAGTCGATTGTCGGCAATCGACTTGAGAATGGTTCAGGACGGACCGAAACGTCGTCGTCCCTTCAACTTCTAGTGTGTGGTCTGGTCAACTGAGATTCGTGTTGGGCGTGTTGTGTACCTTGTGTATGGGCCGAGTCGACACGACGGCGTCTGTGAAGAGTAGATTCAGGAATTATAATTTTAGAATACTATAGGATGACTAGAGTCCTTAACATGACAGTAGAGAGCATTGCTTGTATCTACAGACTTAAGACTTTTTTTGTGTTCTTTTAGTCTGTCGTTTAGTCAGTTTCACCAAATTATTGGAAAAGACAGGACGAACACGAAATAGAATAAACTCCAGCGGCATTGGAAGCAGGAGTAGCCGTGTGAACCAGATTACTACGAAGAGTGTTAGTGTGTCGACAGGTGACTTCGATAGCAAGAGGACGAAGGGTATTAGTGAGATTTTTAGTTCAGATATGTAGGAAAGGCGTAGCACCGTGTTACCAGTGTTGAAAACTGGTGTATCATGAAAGCTTGTTTAGCTTCAGAATAAACACAGCTGATAAAATTGAAGGGATAATCAAGTCATGAGTAACGAAGAGAAATTTCAGACTCAAGAACCTGGGTAGGGTCGGTGATGGGTAGGGGTCCAGAGGGGAAGAGGGAGAAGAGAATACCTTTTTTAACATAAAGCGGATGATAAGAAAAGAAATGGATGTACATTCCATTGTACATAGGCTTGCAGTAGACAGCGAAAGAGAAGCCACACTCAGAGCTATGAACATTGTACATCTAGGAAAGGAAGAAGGGAATTAGATTCCCATTCAGCTTTGAAATTAATAGAAAGGGATAGATTATTAAGAGGTGAGAGGAATAGCTAGAATCATGAAGCCAAAGAGCACAAATATCAACATATTATTTCAGTATTCCGCTATTGACAATCGTCCCTCTCTCTGGCTTGCTATGTTGATATTTTTGCTCTCTGGGCCTCATGAATCTAGTCTTTTCCAGCCTTACCTTTCCTTTCTTAACAATCCGGATCATTCTATTAATTTCAGAGTTGAATGGAAATCTAATTCTCTCCTTCTTTTCCTAGATGTTAGATAACTTTTCTCAAGTTATATGTTCGTCCAAGCAGCGGAGGTCGCCAGCCGCCACTTGGACGAACATAGCCCGCGGACGGTTGGTTAGGCTATGTTGGCTATGCTCCGAGTCTCGGCTCTATCATAATCTCTGTTTTTCTTTTACAGACACACTGTTATCACCAACACGGGGGCCTGGCCACACTGTTATCACCAACACGGGGGCCTGGCCCACACTGTTACCACCAACACGGGGGCCTGGCCACACTGTTATCACCAACACGGGGGCCTGGCCACACTGTTACCACCAACACGGGGGCCTGGCCACAATGTTATCACCAACACGGGGGCCTGGCCACACTGTTATCACCAACACGGGGCCTGGCCACACAGTTACCACCAACACGGGGGCCTGGCCACACTGTTATCACCAACACGGGGGCCTGGCCACACTTACCACCAACACGGGGGCCTGGCCACACTGTTACCACCAACACGGGGGCCTGGCCACACTGTTATCACCAACACGGGGGCCTGGCCACACTGTTATCACCAACACGGGGGCCTGGCCACACAGTTACCACCAACACGGGGGCCTGGCCACACTGTTACCACCAACACGGGGGCCTGGCCACACTGTTATCACCAACACGGGGGCCTGGCCACACTGTTATCACCAACACGGGGTCCTGGCCACACTGTTATCACCAATACGGGGGCCTGGCCACACTGTTATCACCAACACGGGGGCCTGGCCACACTGTTATCACCAACACGGGGGCCTGGCCACACTGTTATCACCAACACGGGGGGTTGGCCCACACTGTTATCACCAACACGGGGGCCTGGCCACACTGTTATCACCAACACGGGGGCCTGGCCACACTGTTATCATCAACACGGGGGGTTGGCCCACACTGTTATCATCCGGGACATTCTCTCTCTCCGGTCACTACAGTTTTCAAGTTTTGCTTAGCATTACTAAATAATAATAAAGCCTATACAAACTGCGTGATCTGTTCATGTTATCCTCACAGCCTAGGAACTTTGTTCTTCTTCAAAATGAGAAGAATACTTATGAAAAAAGATGAGTGGTAATCCTCAACGGCCTCGAACATAATTACTTCCTTCTCACTTTTGTTCTGCGCGACGACCATCGCTGTAATTGCTAATGAAAGCAGAGGTTACCATGCAGGTCAATAAAGCTGCCAGCTATCTCGCTCACAGAGGCTTTAGGTCAACAATGTTTCATAATGATTCCAGCCTAGAAACGATGACCTCATGACCGCAAAATAAAGAGTACTATCTATGAGTACGTGTCCTGTGATTGACTTGGCTATAATTGGTAAGTCAATCGCTGTTAGCTGGACAGTATAATGCTTAGGCGAGGCAGGCAACGTGACGGAAGTTATGTTCCAGACAACATTGGGAATCAGAAGTGAATTCCCAGCAAATATTTCACGATGATGCAAAAAAAAACGTCATTTAGACATTGAAAACAACTGAAAACAAAAGTGTGTTTGGGACTTAAACTACCGACAAACATCTCATAACAATAATAATACCAGCAATTATTTTCTGAAGGAGAAGGAGAGAAGCATAACTTCCATCTGGAGACCGTGAAGGCAGCGATATAAACCTCTCATCGAATATATCGATACATATCTATTTCCTACACAGCACTACTGGTACTCTGGTGAGCTAGCAAGCGTTAGTTCCAAGCTCTAATACATACACGCATACATACATACATATACGCATACAACCATATACATGGCACCTACAGAGCCGTGAGGGACAAGGCCATAGATGGGTTATAAGAAGACAGACGCGGGTCATACGGGCCAGTGACATTACAACAACTGTGGAGTGCACGACGTGTCCTCCTTATATCTTGTTTACCTTTTTCTGTGTAATACGAGATAAAGATATATACATAAAACTAATTTTATAATGAGACTAATCAGTGAGTATTCGTTGTTATTTTCTGTTATCATTATAATTTACTTTAAAGCTTATATCCATTCATTGAATGGTATTTTTCAAACTCGTGTAAATACGATTTTGTTTTTACAAAATCGACTGATGGATGGCTACTGGAGTGCATATATTACTCCAAATGATTCAAGTTATCTGATGTTTTTAGAAATAACTCATTGAAATATGAGTTTGTGATATGATAATCATCGAGTTGTTGCAGGTGGGAGCGTGGCGGCGTGTCTGCTGCTGGCGACGACGGCAGCTCTGGCCGCTGACGACTGGTCCTGGGGGGCTGACACCTCCTCGGGCACTTCAGCGTCTGGTCGAACCCGGCCCGACGCCTCCCGGGTTACTCTGCGACCAAGTCCTCCTCTGGTCGCCTCCAATCAGGAATCCCCAGCGGACCGTCACCCAAGGCTTCTGGGGCTCCAGAATGTGCTGTGCTCTATGGGAATCGGCTTAAGTGTGAGTAATCGGTGTATTTTGTCAATGAATCACGGCTGATACATAGAACATTTTCACGTTCGCCTAGATTGTTAATATCCCTTCAGTTGGAAGTGCACATTCTGCCCATAATTGACATTTCTTATTCAGATAATATTGAAACCTTAATATAAGAGACATTGATTTTCCCCAGTGCATCAAAAGAGTTCCTTCACTCAACTCCTACAATAACCCTACCATCAGGGACCCCAGACAGCAGACTCTGTACCCATACTCGCTGTCTCACGTGCCTCTGACCGTTGTCGAAGATCACTACAGCCTCACCCATGTGCACCATGGCCAGGGTGTCGTGGGAGACCCTGCTACCTATCCAGGCTTGATAAGTGGTGATTTCCAGCATCCTTCTCCAGGTCAAGTACCACAACTCTTATCTAGCTACCAGAGCTGCAAGTGTGTACACGCCTCCTACTGCGCCTCCTATGATGTTGTGGCCCGCAGGAATACCGGGGACGGCGGTGACCTCATCGACGCCCGAAGTCTCAGCTCAGACATCCTCTCTAATGCAACAGACACCACCAAAGAAAATAAAAGTACAACTGCCGCACCCAAAGATGTTACCTCCCCAAGCACTGGCCGTCAGGAGAGGGTTCTGTCTTTTACCAACACAGGCAATGACACTCGCGTCAGGAGGGACACACCTGATCATGCACCTTCTAACTCTACTTTCGACGCTGAAGGAGTAAGTATCATATTAAGGATTTGTGAGTGTGTGGTATTCCGGTATTCCATTATGCCAGTGATTATTGAAATTAATATATCTCTTAAGCGTCATTTACGGCAGATATTAGTATATTTATACCTGTAGTTGAAACAGTAGTGTTTGATCATTTTGTTTTCATGTATTCCAGCGAGCATTATTTTACAACCCGGGGATGTTTGGTTGTGGTCCGAGGTATGTGTGCTGCCGCCGCCCTCGGCTCCCAACCCCTTCCCGGAGGTTCACCTGTGGTCGCCGCCACTCCAGCGGTGCCGTCCCTCGCATCAAGACGCCACAGTACGTGAAGGGCGACACAGAGTTCGGGGAATATCCCTGGCACGTGGCTATCCTACAGCGCCAGGATGAGTACGTGTGTGGCGGAGCCCTGATCGACGAGCGACACGTCCTCACCGCCGCCCACTGTGTTGACGGGTCGGTACTCCTATAGTCTGCATATTCTCCCGCTTATTGACTTCATATGTTAACGAATATTGACCATAGCAAATTTTTAGACTACATTTTACAATATTTAAGTTCGAGAACTATAACTATTGCTGACTTCACATATTAATTAAGAATAATAATCAGCAATTTAATAAAACAAATATAATTTGATTCGTGCAGAGTGACTCCTCATTACCTGAAGGTCCGCCTGGGTGAGTGGGACGTGCATGGTCACACAGAATTCTACGACCATGTGGAGATGCGCGCACAGTTCGTGGTCGTCCACCCCGACTACTACGCTGGCAACCTTGGCAACGACATCGCCGTCATCAGGATGCACCGCTATGTGGACTTCTCAACTAAGTAAATGGTGTTGGTCACTTGAGCAGCGAATGCTGACATCCTCGGACAAGGCTGTTCAGTTGTTTGTGTATTCGCACTACAGACAATCAGATGCACCTGGTGTTTAAACGTCTGTCACAGCGTTTAGCAGCCATATTTAAAACAAATGAAATAAGATGCTCAAATTTGTATTATCATCAAATATAATGAAATATATATATATTGCCTAGGGCCGGAGCGATGTGATCCAAAAGTCGTTTATTACTTTATCAACATATTGTTGGTGGAATTATTTTCAGATTAACATTATACAAGTTTGTTTCATGAACGCTGTTTCCCTGGTAACCCGTGAGTGTCTTTGGCAAATAATAGTGTTAGTGGGAAGAATTATAGGGAGAAAAGTACCAACAGTTCTCCTCCTCCTCCTCCCGCAGCCCACACATCTCGCCCGTGTGTCTGCCAGACGCCTACAGCAGCTTCGTGGGTCAGCGCTGCTACTCTACCGGCTGGGGGAAGGACGCCTTCGGTAGTACCGGCAAGTACCAGAGCGTGCTGCAAGAGGTGGAGTTGCCCGTGGTTGATTACCACCAGTGCCAGGAGGCCCTGAGACACACTCGCCTGGGACGCAGCTTCACACTCCGCCAGGGCATGCTGTGTGCTGGCGGCGAGGAAGGTCGCGACACCTGCAAGGTGAGGCTCCACTCCCTCCCTTCACATTCGCCACTTATTTGACACACAAATAATTTATCGGGATTGTCATCTTTTAATCATTTGTTCTCATCCACATAACTATTTTTCTTTTCCTACCGCAAGGGTGACGGTGGCGGGCCCCTGGTGTGCCCGGGTCCTGGTGGCAGGTCCCAGCTGGCGGGCCTGGTGTCCTGGGGCGTCGAGTGTGGCCGCTCCGGCCTCCCTGGCGTCTACGTCGACGTGGCTCAGTACACTCGCTGGATCCGAACCATAACATCAGCGCCATAATTGCTCAGTAAACCACATTCAGTTCATTAATATAGAGCCCACGAGTATTCTTCATTTTCTGTTGATCTAAATGTTTATATTAATTTTATTCAATTGTTTAATGGGCATAAATTATACACGAGTGAATTTTTTGATAACAGGAAAATGTTGTGTCAAGGAATTGTTTTCCTATCCTTACGATTTTTTTTCTGAGGAAAATATTACATTCTGTGATGATAATTTCGACTTTTCACTTTGCTCTTATGTCTGAAATTTAGAAGTAGAATTAACTTCCAGTAAATAACAAGAGGCTCAACTTGTGACACTTTTAAGTGACGATGAACAGTTGGCGTACTGTCATGAAGACAATTAAGGGTCTCTTGTACCCTGGTACTGGTACAAGCTGACCAGGAGTGAACAGTCACTTAAATCCTGGTACTCTGGTGAGCACAGCTTATGTAATAATCTAAGATGAGGTCTGATAAAGACCTTTTGTGCCCTCTGTAATGCTTTTGCGTTACCGCTCACAGGATGAGTATGGGGTGCACAATAAACTAGCCGCCTTCGGCGGCAACAATCATCAAAAGCTGATGCAAGTACCAAACCCACTTTTATTGTATTTGATTTCCATACGATGTTCACACAACAGGAAAAAACTATGTAAATAGACGGTTTGAAAATAAAGCTGTTGATTACTCAACAAATTACCGGGTAACATAATTGACGTAGGAGCGCTTGAGTGTTTCAAGCGTAGGTTAGACATATATATAAATGAGTGTGGCTGGATATTTAGCTGGTAGAGCTTATGGTTGAGATACTCTTAAGCTCATCATGGTTCAGGGGGTAGTGCGTGCGACTGGGGAGTCCAGAGACGCTAGGGAACTTTCAGGGGGGAAAGCGCCAAGTTATTACGACTATATAGCACTTTTTTCCAGGGATATTCCTGCGCGGGCCCCAAGCCTCTGGCTGGTCCACTAAGTGTTGCTTGTTTCTGTTTTATTTGGGCGGAGTAGAGTATATAGCACTGGGTCCATAGACGCAAGTTCTATCACACTGCCTCTATATTTTATCATTGCTGCACATTGTTCACCACGACTCTAATTACCTAGCCCAAAAAAAGAACACTGGTGTTACAGTTCGTGAACCCATTGCCTCTGTAACCTCTCCGTTACCTTGCTGTAGTGTACCCAGCATGCTAATGCCGGGTAGTTTTAACCACCACACTATGTAATTAACACAGATTCTGAAGAAAGATCCAAGAGAAGAATGACAACGTTAACTCCCCCAGCATCAGGAATCTTCCTTATGAAGACAAGCAGAGAGTACTGAAATAGTAACAATAAATTCAAATAAGACCAATTTTGCTTTAGAACTCATAGAGGAATTCAGTGGGTAGGCAACGACGATCTAGGCAAACAGAGTTACTTCATTGAGGCAAATACCTTGAAATGTATTTACACTTTCATTCATTTCCATACTCTGATAACTCATTTTTCTTTACTTGTACGTTATGGCAGCAATCACTTTCAGTCACTATCCGGTAGGTTGCACTTTCATTTTCCGTGTTGAAGCTTCTCTCATTCAGCAGAACTGTATGTAAACTCCCATTTATCTGCCGACAAAGCATTTCTCTGTTCCATGAGGGTGCGAGGTTTCTTTCGTTTGAGTCAATTCCACCGCAGTCAACTCTCAGTACCACTACAACAATTAACACTACAACAATTAACACTACAACAATCAACACCACAATTGTGTTTGTGGCGACTTCATCAGTCCTATGAAGGTGGGCATGCGGGGCAACCCCGACCCACTTATGACTGTACCCCAACACCCACCAGTCACCCTGAAAAGTTTGCCAAGGTTTGCCCCAAGTATCTAGTTTCCAGCCTTGATATCCTTTATATCCAGACAGATATCCTCCTCTATAGTTATTCAAAATGAAATGAGTTACTCAGCAGTACTCAAGTTGACCCCTTAAGAGGTTGTGCCATTTACGTTTTGGGAGCTCCCGGAATGCAAATCTGTTATCCGAAATAATATAGTAAACCGATAAAATTCTATGGACTCGGTCGCTAACATTTCATTTCCACTGACCCCCTCCTATGTCCGTTCCCCTACACCCATATGTAACCCTGCCAAGTTTGGCGAGGCTATCCCCAAGTGTTTGGTCTCCAGCCTTGGACAGATAAACTGACATCCTTCTATTGATGGAAGAGGGTGGAGAGGGAGAATGAAGGAGAGAAAGAAGAGAGTGGAGAAGGGGGAGATTGGGAGAGAGAGAGAGAGGGTTGAGATAGGTAGTGGAGGGAGGGATTATTGGGAAGAGGGAAAGAAAGATGGATATGTAGGGAGAAGGAGAGAGCGAAGGAGGGGGAGGAAGATGGGGAGAGGGGAGAAGATATGAGAGAATGGGAGAGGGGAAGAGAGGAGAAAGAAAAGGGAAGGGGGAGAGAGACCCGCGTACAGCCGGGTACACCCTCCAGTAAAGTACACATTGTTCATCTTCAATCTTAACCTAACTTGAAGCTACGGGCTCTCCATAGCCCGTGCTACTTGGAACTTTGTTCCAGGAAGCGAATCTTTAACAACAGCAACAATTAACCTAACTTCTTGCATATAAATTGAATTGTTTCTCCTCAAGGAAGTTATCTTCAGTAGTCCTTCTAATTAATGTCTTTGTTTCGTTGATATGTGTTAATATGTTAACCTAAACACACGTGAGGTTAGCGAGACGTGTTAAGGTCTCCACAAAGGTCCCTATACTGTATATTTTTTCAGTAAATTTGTTCAAATTTCAAGTGTTCCGAGACACTTTGGGTTTGTTAATTTCAATATGAGTAGACTCCTACCAACTTGGAGAACTCGACCCACGCTCACCAGGATTTTGTTTTTTCTTCACTGGGGTCTAGAATCCTGCTGACTTTTACAACACCACAGTAGTCAGCACCACAGTAGTCAACACCACAGTAATAGATACCACAGTAGTCAACACCACAGTAATAGACACCACAGTAGTCAACACCACAGTAATAGACACCACAGCAGTCAACACCACTAAAGTCTTTCCTTCCTCTGCGTGTGTAACTGAACACAGAGATTTTTTTTTTTAATTTTAGGATTTTATTTTTGGGTGTTAGGATTTTAACTTTTAACTAGAAAAATCCATCACATTATATTGTATTTTTAATAATTCATTGTTAACCTAAACTTTATTTACATATATATATACAGTTAAAAGATAATCCGAGATGATACCCGAACAGAGCTCCACAATGAGCTGGAAACCATCAGCCGTCACATGACGTAGTAGATAGTGACGCAATGACGAGAGCGAAGGTCAGTAAGAGGAGACGACTCCCACCTGACGTAACCATTCCAAGAAGTAGGTTACGTCGACGTAGACACCTGGGACGCCGGGCAGGCCGCAGTCCACGCCCCAGGAGACCAGACCAGCCAGGTGCGACCTTCCTTCGGGATCCGGGCACACTAGGGGGCCGCCTCCGTCACCCTTGGGAAAGTAAAGATTGGATGGAAAATTAATACAAATTAACACTGAAAGCCTGAAAATAGATTTTAATAGTTGAGCAGGTGTGCGAAAATTTAGGGAGTGGAGCCTCACCTTGCAGGTGTCGCGACCTTCCTCGCCGCCAGCACACAGCATGCCCTGGTGGAGGGTGAAGCTGGGTCCCAGGCGAGTGTGTCTCAGGGCCTCCTGGCACTGGTGGTAATCAACCACGGGCAACTCCACCTCCTGCAGCACACTCTGGTACTTCCCATCCGTACCGAAGGCGTCCTTCCCCCAGCCGGTAGAGTAGCAGCGCTGACCCACGAAGCTGCTGTAGGCGTCTGGCAGACACACGGGCGAGATGTGCGGGCTGCGGGAGGAAATATTAGTCTGTGTTTCTGTTAAACACCTATTTCTGAAGTTTATAATAATTTGTTATGTTTCACTACGACAAAGAAGCGCAACAAAATATATATTTAACACATTACATGTTTGTTATAGTCATACAAAATAACTATTCAGCGGGGCAGGAGACGGTACTAACTTAGATGAGAAGTCAACAGTAGTTTTGAGAGTGATGAGAGCGATGTCGTTATGAAGGTTCCCGGCGTTGTACTGTGGGTGACTTTGGACGGTGGCGACTGGCAGCTCCAGATGACTGTAGAACTCTGTCTCTGTCTTCACGTCCCACTCCCCAAGACGAACCCTCAACTGTGACACCTGAAGACTGTGGAGGGAGGACAGCGTCAGTCTTTATTGTTAACTCTCTTTTTTATATAACTTTTACACACACTTTCACATCCTCTCTCGCCTACACCTCTAATCCTCTCCTAAGTACCGTGTATTTCACCATAAAACAAGGTTTAACATACATTAGAAATGGAACACGGTAGATACTGTTTTACACTGCAGGCCGTAGCCAGCGTGCCGGCGCCGCCCCGACACTCACCTGTTGACGCAGTGAGCAGCAGTCAGGACGTGCTGGTGGTCGAGGAGCGCGCCGCCACACACGTACACGACGTCTCCTCCGTCCACCACCTTCAAGACGGCTGCCTGCCACGGGTACTCGCCGAACTCTGCGTCACCTTTGACGAAGTGTGAGTTCTTGACGCGGCCCAGCAGGCCCTGGGCGTGACGACGGCCACACTTGTGTTGTGTGCGGTGCTGGCTGACTCTGGGGCTGCGGCAACACACGTCGTCCCCTCTGCAGCCACTTACACCTGGGTCATTGCCTTGCTGGCGCTGGAAACCAGTTGGAAATAGTTAGTTGCTTCCATATTCTCCTGAAACCTCTGGCAAAATTTAAAAACTTGGGTCATTTAAGTTTAGCACTATCATTTACGACAAACATTGTTTTGATTTAACAATTTGAAGTAAATCGTTGTTGTAAGAATATCTTCAACTTTATCACACTTTTCGACATTTAGTAGTTACATGATAAAGTTTGACTGCCATTTTTGGCTGGGTGATAGGCTTAATGCCTATCGACCTCTGGAAGGTTGTTAAGGAAACCACAAGTGTTTACTGACCAACCAGCAAGTATACTTTATCCCTGAACACAGTCCAAGACTAAAGTAGACGCTCAGTGTATATACACAGCGTAAGGTGGGGGTACACCTCTATGTATATATATCCCGGTTGTCATTTTTATCTTCAAACGCAAATAGTTGTGTGACTGCTTACATGCTGGAGGTTAATGTTGTCGTCAGAAAGGTGGTAAACAGCACCCAGGATGTCCCTCTTGACGCGGGAGTCTTCACTTGTGTCCGTCTGGGTGGTGTCCTCGCTCTCTGGGACGACTGTATTTGTCACGTCGTCTTCGATGTCCGTGGCGTTGGAGAGAATATCTGAGCTTCGTGAACGAACGTCGATAAGTGCGCTGTAGTCCCAGGACGAGTTGCGGGCCACAATATCATTAACAGAGCAAGCGGTGGCCGGCACACAAAGGCAGTCCTCGAGGTACACGAGGGAGTCTGCTTCCACTGTGGATCCTGGCAGGTGAAGCGAGGGCGTTTTTGCTTCCACTGTGGATCCTGGCAGGTGAAGCGAGGGCGTTTCTGCTTCCACTATGGGTCCTGGCAGGTGAAGCGAGGGCGTTTCTGCTTCTAGCTCTGGGAGGAGTAGCGAGGGGCGGGAGAAAGGGACGGACGCCTGGGTGATACCATTACTGTTCTCGGGGACACTACCACCTTGGTGGATGTGTGTGTGAGTGTGCTGGTGGTGAACTAGGCTTGAGGGCTTCACTTGAACATCAAAGTAGGAAGATTCAGAGGCAGTGTAAGTCACAGTGGGAGGTCCGTACGTTGTCAATATAGCAGAGTAAGTTGGGACCGGAGCAGCATAAGTTGGGGCCGGAGCAGCATAAGTTGGGACCGGAGCAGCATAAGTTGGGACCGGAGCAGCATAAGTTGGGGCCGGAGCAGCATAAGTTGGGACCGGAGGAGCATAAGTTGGGGCCGGAGCAGCATAAGTTGGGGCCAGAGCAGCATAAGTTGGGGCCAGAGCAGTGTAAGTTGATTTCAAACCAGCGTTAATATGAGTGGGAACGCCATATGTGGGGATTGGCTTTGGTGGATAATTGTGAAGATCTGGCGCGTTGTATGATGGGTTGAGGACTGTGGAACCGACTAACGATTTAGGCGGAATGAAGAATGGTTTGAAACCTGCAGGTGATCCCTTAAGTGGTGGTGAGCTGTGGGTGTTGTGTGGAGGGTGGGAGGCGTCGTTGGGGAGAGTGGAGTAGCTGCTGGTGGGGGCTGCAGGTGGCGCCCCGTAGTGAGACTCAATTGCCGGAGGATAGGTCTTCTTGCACTGGCGAAGATGAAAGAGTTAATTACAAAATCTACCCCTCGACTGTAACCAAAAGAAACCCTTTAAAAATCAACAATGCATTAATTAAATTTCATAAGAAAATTCTAAAATACATTCAAACATCAGTAATCTTAACCAAAACACTACAGAAAACTACAGTTTATAGTAATGATCACTCACAACACCAAGGCCCAGAGCGCACATCCTCTCTCCTAGAGTTAAGAATCTTCCTCGCTTGCCCTCTACTTTTTCCTGGTGGGTGTCATCGCCAGGGAGGAGACGTGACTCCTGGTAGGCCTCGTGTATGCCAGGGAACTCTGCGGTAGGAGCAGCAGGTGCAGGACTGGACTCGGGACCCCATGACCACTCGTCTTCGGCGTGGACACCAGTTGTCAAAACACCCAACAGCAGCAGGCGCCAGCATGCTCCTGTATAAACAGCAACGAAACGCTACACTTGAAATTTGCGACATATGTTGAGCATTGCACAAAATACCGTAATTGTTTACAAACTAAGATCAAGAATGCAGGTGTGTCAGACTTCAGTCACAATAACGTGGCTGAAGAAATGATAACCAAACCACAACTCAGAAGATGGAGAAGCGACGACGTTTCGGTCCGTCCTGGATCACACGACTTGATAATGGTCCAGGACGGACCGAAACGTCGTCGCTTCACCATCTTCTAGTTGTGGTTTGGTCGTCATTAATAAAGAAAAAGAATATTTACGTAACAATCAGAATAGTTCACCGTTTTCTTTACCACAAAAGCGCCAGTAATATTAATACTAACACAGTCATATATTCCCTCAGGAATACAATTACTTACCAATCGGTCTCATCTTTCCTTGAACTACAAATGCGAGATGCAGTGATATTAACCACAGGTGAAGTGGTGAGGTGAGGCAGACGGCGTGTGGTCCGTTGATCGTGGCTCTCCAGTTTTATATTACTGGCCATCACGACCTTCCTCCAGCACCAGGATTCCCAGAGCCCTACACCTAGGTCATTCCCATGGTCACTATGGTAAGGGGGCAAGCACGTTGAGTCATGAGACGCTGATGTGTAATTCTCGATAGGGGAGGGGGTGGGAATAGATACATATGTGGAACCGGGGGGGCGAGTAGATAGATATTGGGAGCCATAACTCAGTTCGGCGGGGGAGGGGGGGCGAGTAGATAGGTATGTGGAGCCATAACTCAGGCCCGGGTAGGCGAGTAGATAAGTAGATAGGTGTTAACTGAGCCACGATGCGAGGATGGGATGAGAGAGGGATTCACTGAGCCTGAGATAGAGATGATTAGTATTGGATGTTTTAACGTATGATCAGCGGGTGTTGCGAGTTGACCTGCTCGTTAAGTGTTATCGGAGCGATGACAAGCAGATGGGTGTAGAAGGTGTTCTCTGCACCAGAGGCTCAGACAGATGGGTGTAGAAGGTGTTCTCTGCACCAGGGGCTCAGACAGATGGGTGTAGAAGGTGTTCTCTGCACCAGGGGCTCAGACAGATGGGTGTAGAAGGTGTTCTCTGCACCAGAGGCTCAGACAGATGGGTGTAGAAGGTGTTCTCTGCACCAGAGGCTCAGACAGATGGGTGTAGAAGGTGTTCTCTGCACCAGAGGCTCAGACAGATGGGTGTAGAAGGTGTTCTCTGTACCAGAGGCTCAGACAGATGGGTGTAGCAGGTGTTCTCTGTACCAGAGGCTCAGACAGATGGGTGTAGAAGGTGTTCTCTGTACCAGAGGCTCAGACAGATGGGTGTAGAAGGTGTTCTCTGTACCAGAGGCTCAGACAGATGGGTGTAGCAGGTGTTCTCTGTCACAGATGGGTGTAGAAGGTGTTCTCTGTACCAGAGGCTCAGACAGATGGGTGTAGAAGGTGTTCTCTGTACCAGAGGCTCAGACAGATGGGTGTAGAAGGTGTTCTCTGTACCAGAGGCTCAGACAGATGGGTGTAGAAGGTGTTCTCTGTACCAGAGGCTCAGACAGATGGGTGTAGCAGGTGTTCTCTGTACCAGAGGCTCAGACAGATGGGTGTAGAAGGTGTTCTCTGTACCAGAGGCTCAGACAGATGGGTGTAGAAGGTGTTCTCTGTACCAGAGGCTCAGACAGATGGGTGTAGAAGGTATTCTCTGTACCAGAGGCTCAGACAGATGGGTGTAGAAGGTGTTCTCTGTACCAGAGGCTCAGACAGATGGGTGTAGAAGGTGTTCTCTGTACCAGAGGCTCAGACAGATGGGTGTAGCAGGTGTTCTCTGTACCAGAGGCTCAGACAGATGGGTGTAGAAGGTGTTCTCTGTACCAGAGGCTCAGACAGATGGGTGTAGAAGGTGTTCTCTGTACCAGAGGCTCAGACAGATGGGTGTAGAAGGTGTTCTCTGTACCAGAGGCTCAGACAGATGGGTGTAGAAGGTGTTCTCTGCACCAGGACAGATGGGTGTAGAAGGTGTTCTCAGACAGATGGGTGTAGAAGGTGTTCTCTGTACCAGGAGCTCAGACAGATGGGTGTAGAAGTGTTCTCTGCACCAGGGGCTCAGACAGATGGGTGTAGAAGGTGTTCTCTGCACCAGGGGCTCAGACAGATGGGTGTAGAAGGTGTTCTCTGCACCAGGGGCTCAGACAGATGGGTGTAGAAGGTGTTCTCTGTACCAGAGGCTCAGACAGATGGGTGTAGAAGGTGTTCTCTGTACCAGAGGCTCAGACAGATGGGTGTAGCAGGTGTTCTCTGTACCAGAGGCTCAGACAGATGGGTGTAGAAGGTGTTCTCTGCACCAGGGGCTCAGACAGATGGGTGTAGAAGGTGTTCTCTGCACCAGGGGCTCAGACAGATGGGTGTAGAAGGTGTTCTCTGTACCAGGAGCTCAGACAGATGGGTGTAGAAGGTGTTCTCTGCACCAGGGGCTCAGACAGATGGGTGTAGAAGGTGTTCTCTGCACCAGGGCTCAGACAGATGGGTGTAGAAGGTGTTCTCTGCACCAGGGGCTCAGACAGATGGGTGTAGAAGGTGTTCTCTGCACCAGGGGCTCAGACAGATGGGTGTAGAAGGTGTTCTCTGAACAGGGGCGTAGACAGATGGGTGTAGAAGGTGTTCTCTGCACCAGGGGCTCAGACAGATGGGTGTAGAAGGTGTTCTCTGCACCAGAGGCTCAGGCAGATGGGTGTAGAAGGTGTTCTCTAAACCATAAGATAAACTACGTATTCCTTTAGCAAATAAAATTCGTTCTTGTTAAGGTCCACAATATATGCTCATGATCCGCTAAGCTTTTTATATACAACAAAGCATAACGTAACATCACATAACGTTAAGAGAGAGAGAGAGAGAGAGAGAGAGAGAGAGAGAGAGAGAGAGAGAGAGAGAGAGAGAGAGAGAGAGAGAGAGAGAGAGAGAGAGAGAGAGAGAGAGAGAGAGAGAGAGAGAGAGAGAGAGAGAGTACTAGGTACTAAGTACTTACCGTACTTAGTACTTACCGTACTAAGTACGGTAAGTACTTAGGGTATAGGGTACTTAGGATAAGTACTAAGTACCCACCATCATAAAAATCTGGAGTTTTAATTTTTTCGCGTGGTATTTTACGATAGCCTCGTAATTCATATCTCTGTAACTCATCATACAATCTAGAGGGTAGTTACATAAATGGGGATGTACCTATTTTAATAAAACAAAAAATCACGCCCCACGTCGCTGAATTCTCGTGAACACTTAACATATTTGGAACCTGCAGTCAGTCCAGCCTTCAGCTCATGCCAAACATTGCTCGGTCCTCTTGCGTGGCCAGACATTTCCTGCTGTGACACGGCGACGAGGACGAATTGTGGAAAGTTTTATCCAGCACGACTCCTGTCCTCCTGAGAGAGAGAGAGAGAGAGAGAGAGAGAGAGAGAGAGAGAGAGAGAGAGAGAGAGAGAGAGAGAGAGAGAGAGAAGAGGAGAGGAGAGAGAGAGAGAGAGAGACAGAGACAGAGACAGAGACAGAGACAAGAGAGAGAGAGCAGAGAGAGAGAGAGAGAGAGAGAGAGAGAGAGAGAGAGAGAGAGAGAGAGCGAGAGAGAGAGAGAGGGTAATGGAAAATATAACAATGTTACATAATGGGAGTCATACATATACATATTACAGCCTTCATAAGCCATTTAGATTGTTAATATATACATACATTAACAGCCTATCCTCAGTTCGTCAAACTAACATCACCGTGGCTCCAAGAGGACCTAATACAACGAGTGAGTGTTTTAGTTACGTTTCATAATGGGTTCAGCTACTGGATTCCAATAGTTATATATAATATAAATATATATATAATAGTACCCGTGGCGCAGTGGTAACACACTCGCCCCGCATGTTGCCAGCGATTTGTCCTGAGTTCGTATTCTGGCCGGGGAGGATTGACTAAGCATCAATCTGTATGCCTCTGTAAATCTAGCAGTGTTAAACGATTTAGCGGGTTGTATTAAGATAATGGTCCAGCCCGAAACCCTATTCGTGTAAGTGGTTTTTACAAGACTGTAAGAACTCAAATACAACATATATACACATATTTACAGAAATCACAAATACATATAAATCTATGTTATGCACCGTGCATCCATTGGGTGGTGGTTGTTGTTAAAGATTCGCTACCTGGAACAAAGTTCCAAGTAGCACGGGCTATGGTGAGCCCGTAACTTGATAATTGGGTGGAAGGTGGTGGAAGGGTTATAATGGCATGACTGCGCTACCTATGGTAAACACACTCGGGATATTTTGCTAAGATTTATGGTTATACACTGCACACCATTTTCAGTGAAATATTTACACATTTCTTGAGCATTTGTGATAGTTATTTATAAATTCTTACATTTTTTCACTTTCAATTATATAGTGAAATTAGGTATGTGATAAGATTTGCTGATAAAGTTTACATTTGGTCACATTTACTTCAGTTGGTGGTACTCGTAATCGAGCCTAGTTAAGTCAAGCCTTGAAGCAAATAAACAATAGGATGAGGAATTCGGTGCTGTACGTTACTTTTTGTACGTACGTTACTATGTTTAAATATCATATGAGCGCTGGTGAAATAAATGAGGATGCGCTGGCACTCACTGGAAAGGTAAAATGAAAGTATAGGTGACCTTGAGGACGGCAGAGAAGGAGGCCGAAGACAGGGTCATGTGGTGTAACTTATCTAGGAATGTCCCGCCCTGCTGGTCTTCACCCCCTCCCACCCCCACCATCCCCTCTCTACCCTACCACGCTGAGCCCACGCATCCTCTTTCTTTTTCTTTCTTTTTTTTTTTGAGATATATACAAGAGTTGTTACATTCTTGTACAGCCACTAGTACGCGTAGCGTTTCGGGCAGGTCCCTGGAATACGATACTGCTTCCAAACACTTCTGGGTGATGTTTAGCAGCCCCCCCCCCCCCCCCCGAGGCGTAGTGGTAAGACACTCGCCTGGCGTTTCGCGAGCGCTTTGGCCTGGGTTCCTATCCTGGCCGGGGAGGATTTACTGGGCGCCAATCCTTAACTGTAGCCTCTGTTTACCCAACAGTAAAATTGGTACCTGGTTGTTAAACGATTTGGCGGGTCGTATTCCGGGGAATATTAGGATTAAGGACTTGCCTGAAATGCTATATGCGTGCTAGTGGCTGTACAAGAATGTAACAACTCTTGAATCTATGAATAAATACAAATAAAAAATAACTGTAGCCCATCATCTCTTGTACAGTCATTTTTTGTCCTAACATCTGTTACCCATGGTATTTTTCTTTAGAATTTCCTATCTCGGCCATTTTCACTTCGATTTGCTAGCCTTTTGCTTTCTGGTGCTTGAGTAGGTTAACCTTAAGTGCGTTATTCCTACTTCCACCAGATGTTCAAATGACAGCGCACTGGGGTCAATCTTTCACGTGACGACCTATAATTTGATTTTCTTTATGTATGAATTCCTTATAAGTCAGGTCAAGTCTAGCTGGCTCGTTACTACCTCTCACTCTTGTGGGTCCTCTGACATGCTGACACTCTTTCGGTGTCACGTCCAATATTTTTGCTCTCCTTGTATCTGTGCCTCCCTTGTGGCTCTTCTTCCACCCCCCCATCCCCCAGTCTATCGCCCAACCACTTGGGCTGGACGGTAGAGGGACGGTCTCGCTTCATGCAGGTCGGCGTTCAATCCCCAACCGTCCAAGTGGTTGGGCACCATTCCTTCCCCCCCATCCCATCCCAAATCCTTATCCTGACTTATCATAGCACCATCCAAGTGCTATGTAGTCGTAATGGTTTAGCGCTTTCCCCCTGATCATTCCCTCCCTCAATCTATACTTCCAGGAGTAAATCGAAGTCAGGATCCAGTCCTAAAGGCTACAAAAGATGTTAAATAATTAAGTGTCATGTTGTTTCTGTAATACTTCTTTCTCGATATACCGTTATTTAGTGCAGGGTTATATATTACTACTAATATCTTTGGTTCTTCCACTGGCATAGCGCCTGTTGGCTATACCCATAGCTAACCCATAGCTGTCCGGGATAACCATCTCTTTGAAACTCCAGGGGCCAGATTTACGAAGCAGTTACGCAAGCACTTACGAACCTGTACATCTTTTCTCAATCTTTGGCGGCTTTGTTTCCAATTATTAAACAGTTAATGAGCTCCGAAGCACCAGTAGGCTGTTTATAACAATAACAACAGTTGAATGGGAAGTTGTCATGCTTGTAAACTGTTTAATAAATGTAACCAAAGCCGTCAAAGATTGAGGAAAGATGTACACGTTCGTAAGTGCTTTCGTGAATCTGGCCCCAGTCCTTTCTGATCAAAGTGTGTTTATCTGTTTACTATTTGTGCCTTTAGAATCGAGCTATTAGCTCTTGGACCCCGCATTTCTAATTAATCTATTTTTCATATATTATATCTATTACATTTATTTCTAACACACGCACACACACAATACAGTCGAGAGGCGGGACCAAAGAGCCAAAACACAACCCCCGCAAGCACAACTAGGTGAGTACACATGCACACATCCCCAGGAAGCAGCCCATAGTAGCTGTCTAACTCCCAAGTACCTATTTGCTGCTAGGTGAACAAGGGCATCAGGTGAAAGAAACTCTGCCCATTTGTGTCTGCCTCGGCCGGGAATTGAACCCGGGCCCTTAGGACTACGACCCACGAAGCTCCATGTGTGTACGCATGTAATTGCTTATATTTCATATTGCCATATACTTGCTTTGTTTTGTTTTAATTATTAAATTACCCATTCATGAAAATAAATACTCATTTATTCATTGATTAATTTAACGGTTTTTTTTTTATTTATTGTAATTTTGTAAACCTTAACACAGCAGATGAAGACTCGGCGATGATCAGTTACTTCACAAGAGACCAGATGTTACAAGGATCCAGTCGAGGTAATAGGTCACGTCGACGTAGACCCCGGGGAGACCTGGCAGGCCGCAGCCCACGCCCCACGACACTAGACCAGCCAGGTGGGACCTTCCTTCAGGACCTAGACACACCAGGGGGCCGCCCCCGTCACCCTGGCGAGATCAACAATGTCTAGCAGTCCCACACTGACGGGTGGCAAAATGGACATTATTTTCTTAACTCTCGATAAAATAGGTAATAAAATCATTCGCAGAAAATTTTTATGCAAATTAGCACAACCGCATTTTAAATCAGACCTAAAATGTGACAGACAGCTTGCTGAACATGAGTAAAAAATGATTATCAGTGAAACCAACTCTCGATGTGGACTGTAATATAACTCAGGGATTTGCATTGTGGGTGTTTTTCTTATACTGAAGCTGATTAGATTTTGATTTCGTTAGTTTTACATAAGCCTATTTGCAAATTATGACAAACTGGTAAAAACTGTAGCTATGTTAATAGGTTCAATAGCCCTAAAGATTTTAATAGGCTGGCAGCACGAACTTAAAAAATAACATGTAATAAATGTTTCACATGAACACACATATAATAGGGATCGAATTCTGAAAGTTTGAGCAACAGTCAAGTGTCATACACGCCAGCCACTAAGGTGAAGAAAAAGATTTGCAGATCAATTTCTCACGTGTGTTCCCCCACCATTCATGCAGTCAGACTACATCATAGAACATTTAATCAAAACCAGAATGCAAACTTACCAAGCAGGCGTCCTTCCCTTTCTCGCCTCCAGCACAGACCATACCAGAGTGGAGGGTGAAGCTAGCTCCCAGACGAGTGTGTCTGAGGGCCTCCTGGCACTTCGAGTGAGCCACAACAGGCAACTCCACCTCCTGCAGCACACTCTGGTACTTCCCATCCGTACCGAAGGCGTCCTTCCCCCAGCCGGTAGAGTAGCAGCGCTGACCCACGAAGCTGCTGTAGGCGTCTGGCAGACACACGGGCGAGATGTGCGGGCTGCGGGAGGAAATATTAGTCTGTGTTTCTGTTAAACACCTATTTCTGAAGTTTATAATAATTTGTTATGTTTCACTACGACCAAGAAGCGCAACAAAATATATATTTAACACATTACATGTTTGTTATAGTCATACAAAATAACTATTCAGCGGGGCAGGAGACGGTACTAACTTAGATGAGAAGTCAACAGTAGTTTTGAGAGTGATGAGAGCGATGTCGTTATGAAGGTTCCCGGCGTTGTACTGTGGGTGACTTTGGACGGTGGCGACTGGCAGCTCCAGATGACTGTAGAACTCTGTCTCTGTCTTCACGTCCCACTCCCCAAGACGAACCCTCAACTGTGACACCTGAAGACTGTGGAGGGAGGACAGCGTCAGTCTTTATTGTTAACTCTCTTTTTTATTTAACAGTCTCCGTGGTGTAGTGGTAAGACACTCGCCTGGCGTTCCGCGAGCGCTAAGTCATGGGTTCGTATCCTGGCCGGGGAGGATTTACTGGGCGCAAATCCTTAACTGTAGTCTCTGTTTAACGCAACAGTAAAATGTGTACTTGGATGAAAAAACGATTGTTCGCGGCTGGGATCGTATTCCAGGGACCTGCCCGAAACGCTACGCGTACTAGTGGCTGTACAAGAATGTAACAACTCTTGTATATATCTCAAAAACAAAAAAATTAACTTTTACACACACTTTCACATCCTCTCTCGCCTACACCTCTAATCTTCTCCTAAGTACCGTGTATTTCACCAAAAACCAGGTTTAACATACATTAAAAACTGAACACGGTAGATACTGTTTTACACTGCAGGCCGTAGCCAGCGTGCGGGTGCCGCCCCCACACTCACCTGTTGACGCAGTGAGCAGCAGTCAGGACGTGCTGGTGGTCGAGGAGCGCGCCGCCACACACATACACGACGTCTCCTGCGTCCACCACCTTCAAGACGGCTGCCTGCCACGGGTACTTGCCGAACTCTGCGTCACCTTTGCCTTTGTGTAGGTCCTTCACTCGGCCCAGCAGGCCCTGGGTGTGTTGCAGGCCGCAGATGAGCTCGTGTAGAGGCGGAGCAGGACGGCGGCGACAGCAGACGTCGCCCTCCACACACCCGCCACTCCCAGGCAGGTGCCACACTGCATGACGCTGAGGGGTAAGCGTTACTTAGCAACTTCATGTTCATTTCAGACAATAAGTTGGTAACCTAATAATGCTGGCTCTGGTTGGCCAGCTTATGTCAACAAACAAGCCACCCTTTTCTATTTCCTTAATATAGCTAGCAGACCCATCCATTAAGTAAATTAAATATTAACATGAGAAATCTGCTTATTCAGACTTATCGCATGCAGAGGAGCTGACGTACAGTTACGGGATTATTGATCCTGCAGGGTTCGATTCACGGCGAGAAACAAAATGGGCAGAGTTTCTTTCATCCTGATGTTCCTGTTACCTAGCAGGAAATAGGTACCTGGGAGTTAGACAGCTGTTATGGGCTGCTTCCTGGGGGGGGGCCGTGTGTGTGAAAAAAATTCGTTAGTAGTAGTTAGTAACAGTTGATTGACAGTTGAGAGGTGGGGCCGAAAGAGCACAGCTCAACCCCCTGCAAGTACAACTAGGTGAATACAACTCTACTTCGACACAACAAAACAGTAATCGTATTAAAATTAGAATGTGTATGCCAAGTTTGCTCAGCAGCAGCCACATGCAAGTAAGTAATTATCAAAAGAATTATCTAACACGCAAGATCCTGCCACAATGTGAACTCATGTTAAGCTGAGGTATCTTCGTATCTTCAGAGAATATCAGCTAATACACAGACCGATAACCTATCATTAACAGACAAAAGATAAAGGCTATGGCTCGGAATCTTAAGAATAAGTCAGGCACTACTCTATCACTTACCAATATTACATCAACAGGGAAAGAAACGAGACAGCCTCGGTCAACGCTTACCATGAGTAGGCTATCTGCTTAAAAAACTGAAATATCACCCTAGAAAATTTCGCTCTTACAACATAAATAAAACATACATATTGGAACTAGAACCTAGAAACCTGTTTCTAGTAAATAAAGAATTAGTTCACATCCTGTATATACTGGTAGCTCAAAATCCTCAGACGGAACATGATTAACGTCAGTGATCTAGAATGATGCAAGTATATTCATACCAGAACTAGATGTTTTTTTTCCGCATCGTAAACCATCAATAACGCACCCAGTAAGAATTACGCTATACCGGTATAGCGGTGACAGGAACCCTGTTAGGCTTTTTGAGGTCTCTCTCTAACCAATAGTAAGGCTGCTCTTGCGGCCACCCGTTACCCATCCACTGAAGTATTGATGCACACATCTTTCACTGTGCCACGCCTTTCCAGACTCTCAAAACGCATCGATGGTCATTAAGAAAATGCAATCTCATACAGTAAAAAAACAATCTGTCTGGTCAGAAGCTCCAGTAAATAAAAAGGTGCACTGCTGGACACCAAGCCTAACAGGAAAATTTAATAAAATAACAGATAAATAAAAAAAGGCATTCTAAGAACAGCAAATAACAATTCATCAGTGTCATTCACTATAATTTTCTTATTGATACAAACCTGAAAATAGACGCAAAATAAATTGAACAAATTTGTACAGGAGAAACTCAGAAGTATATAACCGGCCATACTCCCACTGTCATCTAGCAGAAGCCTGCACTAGGAGGTAGTGTTAGCTAGATTGAGACTTGATCACCCAAGAATAACTCACAAGAAATCATCTAAAGGAATAAAGAACATATAATAAATGTGCAGTTTGCACAGAAAGCTTCACAGTTTTATATGTTAATAGACCACAGACAATTTGGAAAACAAGGAATTTGTTTCGTTCATTTCCAATTACTTTGCTCTCTTGACAGTAGAACAATCGATGGGCGGTGTCATTTACATACATAATTTACATAAACTTACATAAACAATCTATGTAAGGACAACGGCCTTACATAGATTGTTTATCATGCAATAACATCTTCATATTTGAATTACGTAAATTCAGATTTTGTCTTAAACATACGAATGACAGAAAGATTTAAATACAAAAAAAATGTAAGACTGTATTAGTTGACAATAACTTCATTGTGATATATTTAATCAATACGTGAAGATATTTATCGAAATGTATGTTGAAAGCAAGGGTTAACGGTTAAATTTAAGTTTAAGCACCAAGATTATACTTTTACTAACCTCTTGATTGTTGCTGTTGCGAGCGACGTATTGGGATACGCCGCTCTTCACCTGCCCGTCACCAACACTTGTAATGAGGTCGTCATTCATTTGTTTGATAGCTAATTTTAAGAGAGTTACGTTGTCCGAGGAATTTGATAGAGCTTTTGCCGAACGAGAGATGATGGGATCGTTAGGAGCTACGAGGTCTTGGGTAGTGCAGTATGAGGCAGCCACACACCAACAGTCCTCGGGGTAATTGTGTAGTACATTCCCTTGTGTCGGACTGGCTTCCGTGATCCCTGGGTTGTGGTGTACGTGGGTGTAGGTCTGTTCGCGTCGTTCTACGGTAGTGGGTGCTGTACGAGGTGGGCTGGCCTGTTCTGGGCGAGACACACTGGGCGAGACTGAGGGTGCCCAAGTATGTGTGACGGAAGGAGGGAGGCGAGGACGGACCAAGAAGGGTCTTTCACTGGGTGGAGCGGCCTCCGCAGACCTTGACAGGCACTGTAATGATACAAAAGACACTAAATCCGGAGTCTTCGAACCTATTATTGTTTATAGGTCAAGAGCGTATACTGAAGGACATTATATTAACTTTTATTGAATAAATTCTACCAATATCATGGCATGCATGAGAATTAGGAACATGTATTCTGGGGAGCGGGGGGTGGGGGGGAGGCGTCTCTCAGTGTACACAAACCTGCTTTGACACCGACACCGAGTCCACAGAGTTCCAGAATCCCGGCGTCCATGTCTCGACTCTCAGACTCCTCGGCCGTGTTGGAGAGCCCGGGGCGCCAGGCCTCAGTATTTCTGAAGCCCCTATCACCTTCCCAACGAGCTGCAGCGCTGTCGGGGCTCCACGACCACACCTCGGCCTTGCCAGTCGTCAACGTTGCCAATATAAACATCAGGGCATACCGTCCGTCTGCGCACACACCGTTAATTAGTGGAAAAACACAAAAGTCTTTTAGTTAATGCTGTTGGGCTTGAGGCCTATCAACCTCTGGAGGGTTTTTAAGGCTATTACAATAGCTTACTGACCAACCATGGCTAGTACACTTTAATTTAAACGTTATCCAGGACAAAAATAAATTCTCATTGTGTGTATACATCGAGACGTTGGGTACACATCTCGGTGTATATATCATATATCACTCGCTAAGACACTTCCAGAGTCGACTTAGGTGTTATTACCCAGTGATTGATATACTGTATAACTAATTTGATTTATTTGTGATTTTTAAAGACTCAGACTCAAGAAATGAATTAAGAGTTCATGTTTGTTTTCTGGAACTCCTTCTATCTATACTTTTTAATTACCTATTACTTATTTAATTAAATAAGAACATCTGGCCTCCAATTAGAGCCACCAAAGTATATTGTGAAAACACCAAGACAAAGAACATGACAAAAATACATAAAAGTTGTTGTTCATTCTTAACTAAATATTTATTATAACATTTTAATTAGCTTAAAAATCGTAAGTTAAAGATCTTTCTGAAAACAACATTAATTACAAACAACCACACGTGATACAACAATCCCCGGGTATAATACCCAAGAGTGGCATTGACTCGACGTTGAATCAACGTTATAAGCTCTAATATCCCACCAAACACACACCGAAACTACGACGTTGATACAACGTTCGAACAAGTTTTTTAACACCTCTTAACCAGTTATAACAATATAACAAGTTGTAACAACGTTCTAATATGTCATAAACACGTTAAGCCAAAATATAACAACTTTATTACAAGTTGTAACAAGCGGAAAATAGAGACAGTTTCGGTTTGTGTTTCCAGGGATACGACGTTGAATTAGCGATGCTCTTGGATACTGCGCTCCTTGGGCACTCTCGCTTCCTACCTGTCACCGCCACCACCACCATTGTGTCTCTGCTCACCACAACCACTCAAGGAATAAGCAGGTTACAAACAATCGTGTACATTTAAAGAACAAAGTGTTTAACCACTGGAGCAAAACAAGAAGGCTGCTCTCGTTAATGGAGGAGTCGGTCGATTCTCCTGTCTTTTATACCAGGAGTTGGAGGGGGGGGGGGTAGGTCCGTAACCCCTCCCACCTTCAACACCCCGGCCCTTCTACCGGGTCCCCACGAGGCAGGATAATCAAGTATGGGGAGGGGATTGTTTAGTAAAGTAAATTTTATTCAGGAAAGTACATACATAGTTGATTTACAAACATAATGTTGGATTTATAGATAAAGCTAGTACATACAATACCTAAAGCCACTAGTACGCATAACGTTACGGGCATGATGAGGTGGGAGAAAAAAACACTTAGACTAAAACTTAATAGTAATTGAGCTTAAAGTATAAATTGCGTTGAAAAAAAAATAAAAGATAAAAAGGGGGGCAACATGATAGAATATAGTCAATATACAAGTTGGTCAACAAACAGCATTGTTTAAAAATAGTAAGACATGGGTTGACATTTAGGGGTAAGGTAGGTTACATGGAACAAACCCACAAGGGCCGTGACGAGGATTCGAACCTGCGTCCAGGAGCATCCCAGACACTGCCTTAATCGACTGAGCTACGACAGGGTTAAAAAAGAGTTGAAACCGAAGTTCTACTGAACTTACTGGATCCTGCAGCCTCTCCGAGGCACAAACCAGGGTTTTACACAACTCCCCCCTGCACTGGAGCTAGGTCGTTCTCCCTCTTCGCCCTTACATCATTACACACAGAGATCAGATGTGTAATGATGTAAGGGCGAAGAGGGAGAACTACCCTTCCAAGGGTAGTTAAATATATTGTGACGATAATCTCTTTCAAGAGAGATTGAGCCTGCTCTTCCCTATATCATTCACGTCATGTTACAAGTACAAGATACTATATTGAAGATACTTCCACCAGTATCGCCAAACGTTTTGCCCAGGAAGCAAAGCGTACCTTGCACCACCAGACACGCTGGCTCCTCCGCCCGTCGTCAACGAGCAAACTACCCATTCTCCGCCTGCCTGCTCCTGATTGGCTGGTGTATCGCCGACCGCACCTGCACCTGCACTCACGCCCCCCCTACCTGAGTCGACGTCTGAGCCAGCACACGCCGTACTCCTCAGACTATCTCTGTGCTCTTAGGAGTTGACATCTCTCTCTGGTAGACTAAGCCCTGGCTGTCGTGTACTAAGGGAGGTGGCAGCTTTAGCCAGTATTCGCAGCACCTTATTATCATTATTATTGTCTTGCACTTCATTTTATATTAGAGTAAATTTTACATTTATTAATTATTCATGTTTTGTTTGTTGACTTGTTCTGAATTTTACGTAAGCCAAGGGATTGTCTTTGTTCATATCTTGTTTTCTAAAGTAATTAAAATTTCATTGTTTATATTTCGTTTTGTGTCTTCCCATTACCTTACCACAGGCAAGCACTCTTTTTTTTTTTTTTTCTGTAAGTGTGACAAGGCATTGCCACCTGCCATTGGAGGACTGCCGAACATCAACACTCCAACACTTTACCGTCACAATATATATATATATATATATATATATATATATATATATATGCGAACAAGCCTGAATGGTCCCCAGGACATATGCAACTGAAAACTCACACCCCAGAAGTGACTCGAACCCATACTCCCAGAAGCAACACAACTGGTATGTACAAGACGCCTTAATCCACTTGACCATCACGACCGGACATAATGAGGTGATAGCCGAGGCTATTTGAACCACCCCACCGCCGGCACTCGGATAGTTATCTTGGGCATAGCATTTTACCAAATCACCTCATTCTTTGGGGCAACACGTGAGGAACACAAATGCGAACAAGCCTGAATGGTCCCCAGGACATATGCAACTGAAAACTCACACCCCAGAAGTGACTCGAACCCATACTCCCAGAAGCAACACAACTGGTATGTACAAGACGCCTTAATCCACTTGACCATCACGACCGGACATAATGAGGTGATAGCCGAGGCTATTTGAACCACCCCACCGCCGGCACTCGGATAGTTATCTTGGGCATAGCATTTTACCAAATCACGTCTTTCTTTGGGGCAACACGTGAGGAACACAAATGCGAACAAGCCTGAATGGTCCCCAGGACATATGCAACTGAAAACTCACACCCCAGAAGTGACTCGAACCCATACTCCCAGAAGCAACGCAACTGGTATGTACAAGACGCCTTAATCCACTTGACCATCACGACCGGACATAATGAGGTGATAGCCGAGGCTATTTGAACCACCCCACCGCCGGCACTCGGATAGTTATCTTGGACATAGCATTTTTACCAAATCACGTCATTCTTTGGGGCAACACGTGAGGAACACAAATGCGAACAAGCCTGAATGGTCCCCAGGACATATGCAACTGAAAACTCACACCCCAGAAGTGACTCGAACCCATACTCCCAGAAGCAACACAACTGGTATGTACAAGACGCCTTAATCCACTTGACCATCACGACCGGACATAATGAGGTGATAGCCGAGGCTATTTGAACCACCCCACCGCCGGCACTCGGATAGTTATCTTGGGCATGCTATGCCCAAGATAGCAAATAGCCTCGGCTATCACCTCATTATGTCCGGTCGTGATGGTCAAGTGGATTAAGGCGTCTTGTACATACCAGTTGTGTTGCTTCTGGGAGTATGGGTTCGAGTCACTTCTGGGGTGTGAGTTTTCAGTTGCATATGTCCTGGGGACCATTCAGGCTTGTTCGCATTTGTGTTCCTCACGTGTTGCCCCAAAGAATGACGTGATTTGGTAAAAATGCTATGCCCAAGATAACTATCCGAGTGCCGGCGGTGGGGTGGTTCAAATAGCCTCGGCTATCACCTCATTATGTCCGGTCGTGATGGTCAAGTGGATTAAGGCGTCTTGTACATACCAGTTGTGTTGCTTCTGGGAGTATGGGTTCGAGTCACTTCTGGGGTGTGAGTTTTCAGTTGCATATGTCCTGGGGACCATTCAGGCTTGTTCGCATTTGTGTTCCTCACGTGTTGCCCCAAAGAATGACGTGATTTGGTAAAAATGCTATGCCCAAGATAACTATCCGAGTGCCGGCGGTGGGGTGGTTCAAATAGCCTCGGCTATCACCTCATTATGTCCGGTCGTGATGGTCAAGTGGATTAAGGCGTCTTGTACATACCAGTTGTGTTGCTTCTGGGAGTATGGGTTCGAGTCACTTCTGGGGTGTGAGTTTTCAGTTGCATATGTCCTGGGGACCATTCAGGCTTGTTCGCATTTGTGTTCCTCACGTGTTGCCCCAAAGAATGAGGTGATTTGGTAAAATGCTATGCCCAAGATAACTATCCGAGTGCCGGCGGTGGGGTGGTTCAAATAGCCTCGGCTATCACCTCATTATGTCCGGTCGTGATGGTCAAGTGGATTAAGGCGTCTTGTACATACCAGTTGTGTTGCTTCTGGGAGTATGGGTTCGAGTCACTTCTGGGGTGTGAGTTTTCAGTTATATATATATATATATATATATATATATATATATATATATATATATATATATATATATATATATATATATATATATTATATATATATATACATATAATATATATATATATATATATATATATTATATATATATATATATATATATATATTACATATAATATATATATATATATATATATATATATATATATATATATATATATATATATATTACATATAATATATATATATATATATATATATATATTAGTTAGTCTTAATGACTTGACGCTTTCTCTTGATAGTTCCCTTCCCTTGTATTCGCTCACAACATGCAACATATTCCCCCTTAAAACCTCCTCGTGTCCTTCCACATACTCTGCCCATCTTCTCCTAGCACACACAAACGTGCCTTTTCCCCGTCTTTTCCTTCCCTGCCCACACACGCCCTTCCTGTCTCTTTCAGCCCCTCTTTCCCTTCCAACACTTGCCCATGCCCCATCTACCTCATCACTGCCCACACAGGCTTTAATTTTGCCCATCTTCTCCCCCCCCCCCTCTCTTCCCTGCCCATATACACCTCATCTCTTCCCTCCCATCACATATACAACCTTCCCCCATCTCCTCCCTCCCTACCCACACACGCCCTTCCATCATCTGCTCTCTCTCCCTCTCCCTCCCTGCACCCATACGTCCTACCCCATCTGCTCATTGTCCACACACTCCTCCCCTGTCTACTCTTTCCCCTCTTCACATATGCCCTTCCCCTGTCTCCTTCCTTCCTGTCCATACACGCCAATACCCGGTCTTCTCTCTCTCTCCCTCTTGAGAGATTCTTGAGGTTATTTCCCTACACACACACACAGTTTTCCCGCGTCTCCTCTCTGCTCACACATGCTTTT